CCATGTTTCTCCTGGGAGCCGTCATGTTTCTCTCCTCACAGAACTGAACTTTTACCATCAAACTGATGAGTGGCTATTTAAATTCAGGTACTAAAACTTACAAACTCTAGAGGTTAATGTAGAGATATTTAAACTTAGAATAGCAGCTTTCTCTCACAAAAGTACAGCTCTAATGGGTGGCAGTTCTTTTTAAATCCATAAAGCTATGCTCCTTGGCTGCAGTAAATCCATAAGGTTTCACCAAAATGCATGAGGCATTTTGGCAGCTAAGAAGTTCCTATTCATTTAGAATTTCATTTAAAGAAAATCTGTAAAGTTGCTACTTTCTAGCTTTTATCCCAGCCTCACTTTCGGCTGCTATTTGCATTCTCTCCAGAGTGCGACTCGTGTAGTGGTAATGTATGTATACATTAGGGTGACTCTAATGTATACATTAAGGTGAAGCTCTTTTGCCTTCTGTGGAAAAGGGAGTAAGACAAACACACATCTCAGTGAGTTCCAGTCACATCTTGTATCTGATTACTCCTGTTCTAAGCTTTTGGCTGAACTGAAGAAGTCTTCTACATCAGTTTTGTTTGTTTGTTTTTTCTTTAGATAATTTACATTCTTTTCCAATTTTTCATTACCTATGACTATTTGTTTTCTAGAACAGATTTACAGGCTGTCATCCTTATGATTTATGTAAGAACTCCAAGATGCTATGATGGGACACTTGGCTTATGTTCCAGATAAATAATATTCATCCTCACTACTGGAGAAAGAAGAAAGGCCATCTATTGAGAGATGGGAGTGCAAAGCAAATGAATCCACTAGAGGAACGCTCTTCACTTCTGCATCTGTCCAGTGTTAGGCAGAATACTAATCATCTCATCCTGAATGAGAATGAGACCATAAGGTCTGTCATTTTATGTATGTTGACATTATCTATTATTCACTCTGGGAATAAAAATTTTTCCATAGACCTGCTTTTTTCTAATATTTCATCCAAGCCATGTCAGTTATCTCTGCCTAGCCAAAGGGAACACGCTTTTTTTGTGACTCATTTTTGGTGATGTTTTTATCTTGTTTAGAGAAAGCTAAAAGGTCTGGATTTTGTAAGGATATTTTTGGAGGCATTAATTTCTTGGTGTAAATTATTTTCATTATCGTAACTGATTTCTGTCACTCCTCTAAATTGTAGGTACAAGTTTAGAGTAATTAGAATATGCAGAAGAATGAGAATTGGCACAGGACTGCATGTCAGATACAAATGCTGAAACCATATTAGCTTTTCACTTGAATTATTAACTTGTGTATGGTCATGCCTATCTGTGTGCATAAGCACACACCCACCATTTCAGCCTCAAGATCATTCCTCTTTCCTAATTAATATAGTCAAAACTAAGCTTATACCTAATAAGAAATTCCTGGAAAAGGGAGAGACTTAAAAGTTCAGTCCATGTAAAGCTCTAAATTTTTAGACAAGTTCCATTGACTTTTTTCAGGCTTTCATTTACTGAGATTTTTTTTTTTTTTGGTTATCTTAGCAGGAATTTTGTTGATGTTATTTTTAGTTGTGTTATCTACTCAAAAAAGAAAACAAAGTACTTTAGATCTATTTACTACTATGTTTGGGGTTTAAAAATAATTTATCATGATTACAACTAAATGGGAGGAGATGGAGGAATAAGAGAGAAAGATCTTGCCAGAATGATTTTTAAATGTTCACAATAGCCTGTAGGCTAATGCTTTTTAACAAAGTTATCAAATACAGTGATATCTGAGTGCCTTGCATGACAGCTAATTATTCTTCTGAGAACATTGATTTTATGGGGTCTTTTCTATATTTATGCATTTCATGAGAATATTTTAGAGGAATGAAGCATGATACTCTCTTGAAATATTCCTGTGGAAGAAATATTATGTATAGCTTTCATTCTGTGTGTATACTTTATAGTTTTTCTGTGTAGGTAGAGACAAGTCATGTGTATGTCTTACTTGCCCATAATCCCATTACTTTGGGCAATGAGTTGTAGTGCAGCAGATACTTTGTTCTAGAACTCTGCACAATAATTTCTTAAAGCTTTTAACATCAGCCTGTCTTTCGTGTAAATGACTCCAAACACCTGTCTCTGTCAGATACTTCAGAAATTATTTTGAAAACTGTATTTTAATTATTCTTTCCTTTCACTTTGACATTTAATTTATATCACATCAAGAATTTCACAAACTGTTTAAGGAAAAATATATGTATACATTCATATTAGAAAAACTTCACAAAATACTTTTTGGTAAAGTGGTTTTTATTATTATGCATTGTCAACACTTAAATATGTTGAAGTTTCATGCAAGCTGGAATAGTGTTAAGAGAGCAAAGGTTAATCCATAAACATGTTAAGGGAAAAAAGGTTAAATCTGCATAAGTTTCTGCAGGTTTATATAGGAAACTGGGGAATTGCTTCAGTTAAAGTGACTTTGGATTACTTACTAAAAAAAACACTAGTCTTACTCTTCTGGTTTTCCCAAAGCTTGTTCCAGTTCTACCCAGGATGTTTGTTTTCATCCTGTGTTAAAATTTGCATGCTTCTTTTTTCTGTCCTACAATATAATGCCACAGTAGCAGCTCTAAGAATATAGCAAAACAGTACAGTTCACCAACCAGTTGTGGTTACTATTCAATAATGAGTCCATTTCAAACTAAGTACTGCATGATATTGGGGGGGAAAAACAAAACAAAACAAAACAAAAAAATTCACAAACAAAACCAACTCAGAAAAACCCAACCAGGCCCCAGATCTTCTAGTATGAACTACCACAACAAATGTACATAATATATCACAGAATAATAGCTCAGTTACAATAATAACAATACATAAGGAAAAAAAACCTATGGAAATATTTTTTTCTTGTTTTGTGCACATGAGGTGCTTTCACATCTGAATTTGTTACAAATGATAAACAGAAGAACTGAATTATTGTGTTAATGCAGGACAGTCATGTAGTAAAACATTTTTTGCAATATTCAGGAACATAGAAAAGTTTTTTTACTTACAGACTGAAAAAAATGTATTTTATGCACCTGCATTGCCTTAAATATAAATTAAGCAAATAAAGTAATTGACAGTATATAATACAAATCTTCATATGTAATTTCTGGATATTACATTCTTTAAGAAGAACAATAACTGGACTGAAGAAATACCTATTTACAACATACTTTATAATGACTGAGAGAGGAAGCTATCATTTAGCTGTTTTATTAATTTTCATCATAGCATCTATTTCTTTTAATTTGTTATTCTACAGTAAGCTGTTTGAACTTGACTTTCTCACCTTGGGATGATGGAACAGCTGTATATCTTGAGCTCAGTAAATTTAAGTTTGTGTTTAAGTCATTCTTTGACACTTCAATTATTTCACTTTCTTGACAGGCATCATTCAGTTCTGCATCACAATTCCCATGTTCTTCTGAATATGGACTGTAGGAATTTTTAGTTAAGTTTATAGAGTCTATTAGACCATAGTCTAAAACCAGGTTGTCTTTTTCAACAAAAGATGTTTTCAGAGTGTCAGATGAACCAACTTTTAAGTTTTTGTCGTATTTTGATTCTTCTCCAACACATACGAACTCAGTATCAACAGGGAATGCTATATTTTTTGCCTCCTTCAAAACTAATGTGCTATTAGTACAAGACTTCTAACAAGTGGCATCTTTATTAAATAGACCAAGACTATTAGAGGTAACAGAATCTTCACCTTTTGAGTTCTATTCATCCCATGAAGCAGTTACAGTATCACTAGAATAGCTCTCATGAGATTCATACATCACGAATATTTCTTCATTTCCAGACTGCTTTTCCAGCTTTGCAAAGGCATGCTGTGATACAGTGAAAACTTTATGGCTCAATGCTGTCATTGGATTAGACAGAGCTGAGAAAGTTTTCTCATGCCTACAAATGTTTAGATGTGAAAAAAAGGCATAATTGTTATTGTTATTGTTATTCAAGCTGAATTCTTTGTGATTCTTTTGAACTGTTACATCATCAATGTTAGTTACCTGTACAACTTCTGAATTACCAGTTTCATTTTTTTTTTCCTCTTCCTTCTTCACAGCCCCACACACAATCACATTATCACCTTCATTAATATCCTTTCTATTTTCCTTCCTATTCTGTGATTCTTCTGTTTTATTCAACTTCTCTTGCATGTTCCCAGCTTCCTCATCTTTTCCTGCTTCGTTTTTCTTTGCTTTACAGATATTTGTAGCTTCTTTTTCAGACAGAGAGCTAAAGGATGAGTGTTGATTTTGTTGTGCATTTGCAGTGTTATTTTCATTTTGCTCTCTCACAGCATTTTTTTTCTGAGGATCCTTTTTATTGCCCAGAGGTTTATTTGTATGTGAACTAGAACCTTCTTGAGCAAAACCTTCTGGGGGCCATGTCAGCTTATTTACTTTAGACACTTCTTCAGTAGAAAATGTTTTATTAGATGTTGCATCATCTATTGAAGGAGGCCATGTCATCTTTAACTTGCGTCTTCCTGTGGACTTTTTCAAATTATTATCCAAAATATCAGGATGAGCACCTTCAGTACCTGAGTACAAGTCTTGATCAATTTCTGTTATTGGTTTAGGATCAACAGGTATACTATTCATGGGGTTTATTTCTTCAGCATGAATATTGCCAACTGAGCTACATTGATCTTTAGAGGTCCATAATTCTTTATGCTGCTTGTGTCCAAAACCTTCATCATAATTTCCTTTTGATTTGAAAAGTTGCCTAAAATGGGGTTTACAATATATTTTTCCATGGAGAGATGCATAATTTCCCAAGCTGCCAAACAGAAAAAAAATTGGGTTATACTTTTACATATCATAAAACTACCATGAGTTTTACACTTTAGTTCATATTTCAAATACCCCTACATGACAGCATATATAGAATCATAGGGGTTGGAAGG